TTTGGGGATGACAAGAAGGACCGACCGCTTCCCTCCCCCCTCCGAACAATGATCATTTACCACAGCCCCTTAAAGCGTTAAAGGGGATCATTTCAGCCAGAAAGTCGCCTCCAGCGGATTTGGAGGATTCCCTTGTTTGGATGTATTCAATGAGCCCAGTTTGCATGCTTGCAGATACCCCTGATCGGATGTAAACAAAAGGCGTCTCAGGTGACGCGTCCAAGTCGAGGCTGCAGCATGTGCCCATTGCACGGAACCCAACTTCAAGGGGTTTCGGCTGCACAAGGAACGCTGGACTTGAATCTTTTAACCATTTTGGTGGCAAATAAAAATTGGACTCTTCTTGGCCCATCCACTCAGGAAGTGAGTGATTCGGCAGTAATGGGATCTTCCCCGTTTTGTTGCACCATATGACCATGTACCGCCAGTTTTGCGGCTCATGCTCTCTCTTGTGGGTTCGTAAATTCGGGTTGCCGGAATCTGTTCATTCTGGGGGATAATCGTGGAGTCGGCACACATATTGGGCTTGGTTCCACCACAGGGCTTGGTGCCAAGTCCCGCTTGAAATCCACCAAATTTTAACACAGGTCCTCCAGAGGGTTTTTATAGTTCCCTGGAGCCAGTTTATGAAGCAGTTGGACCAATTGTTCCGCTGATTTAGAGCCATTGCAAGAGGAGCGAAGCATTGCAGTTTGACTATAGTGACGATTCGCGGCTGTGAAGATCATTCACGGCTATAATCTTCCCTTGGTTCCCCTTGATATGGTTCTAAATCAATATTGGAATTGTGGGCTAGTGTACTCTGCGGGTCAAGGGAGAATATAGGGAGCCGCCTTTTTCTCCCATCGTGCGCCCAGGAGTACATCGTGCAGACGCTGGACCCCATCTTGGAGGAGATGCCTTCAACGTGCGTGATTCCATTTACCTGACCTGCAAAGTGCATACAACCAAGGGAACCACTTAAAAAAAAAAGAGAAAAATAAAACTCAAAGGACCTTGGCGGTTTGCTACCCTGATAGCTGGGATCAAGGGAAAGCCATTGGGATCGAGGGGAAGAACCGCTTGTAGGGGTTTGTTGTCAAAATGGGATCGGCACCCACAAATGGATTTTGGTTTTCATCCTTTCCCTTTAACCCAGCCACTCACCAAACAAAAATCGGTCCAAACTGGTCAATGTTGCTGGTTTCTCGCTGGGGTCACAGTTCTATGGGACTTTGGAGCAATCCTGGTTTCCCCTTAAAAACAATCGCAACAGCTACCCTCAAAAACGACATCCCCCCCCCCCCCCGCCTTGTGGGTGCTTGGGTATTTCCGGCCTGTGCGCCAACACATGTTTGTTGGAGGGTATGTGTGTGTGTGTGTGGGTGCGTGTGTTTGTTCTACCCTTTTTAGTTGGCTTGAAAGGGAAGAGAAAGGCAAGAAAACACATTTTGGGAGGTCCCCTGTTTCAAGATGCACACATTTGTCCTACTTTGACAAATACCCAGTATAGGTCCCCCAGTTATGTCCTTTTACCCTTTTTTTTGGGGGAGGGTTCCCCTACTAAAATAGATTACAGAGAAAAGTTGGTACCCTTATTCTAACCTCCCCAGTGGAGGATCTAGCATTTGTTTCGGCAGGAAATGGTCAGCGATGTGCTGACCGAGATGCCGGATGTGCCTTTGGACTACATGATCCAGTGGATGACGCCCGGTCAGTTTAGTGGGAGCAATAATCGTGTCCCTTTTGCTCATTGTGGAAAACTGTCTTTTAGGTGTCCATGTTTCTAGGGGAGCTATCCTTAAAGTCTCAGGAGAAGGTTGTCCCATGTGGCATCTAACTCTTTTCAAAGCATCAAGAACTCAGGGGAAGCAGCTCCGGCTTTTGAAAAGAACGATGAATGGACAGAATCAGGGTTGTGGGATCACTCGGGGTTTCTCCCCACTTCTGTGATACAAGGGAATCCCCCTTTCTATGAACACAATAGTCTTTGGAAAGCCCTTTCCGTTGTATCACAGAAGTGGTCATTCCCCACAGCCCTGGACAGAATGGTTGGAAGCAACCCCTATCTACCGTGTGTCAAAGAGGTATGCTGGAGGCAAGTTGGCGTGTCTTTTCAGGCGGTGCCGAAAGAAAACACCACTAAAGGGGCACCAACTCCAAAAAGACACAGGGTACTACCCTCTTAAACAGGGAACCACACCCAAAGAACATCGTGTTGGTTTTGGGTTGCCACTTTGGATACGAAGGATTCTTATTCCTTTGAAAGATGGCAAAGTGGCCACAGGATGGCCCACTTCGGAATCGCAGAAAAGAGGATCTCCCACCACACCCGGGCTTGGCCTTTTGGTTTTCAAAATCTAGGTCCCCAGCTAGGTGCCCTTTCTCACCCTTTTTGGGTTCGGAGGCTTCCCCTACTAAAATAGACTACAGAAAAAAGGGTACCCTTATTCTAACCTCTCTTCTGGAGCGTCTAGGAATCATTGACCTCCAAATGGGGCGGAAGGGGGAGAAGCCCATAACAAGGCCTTCCACAAGGTTACATGAAACCTCGCTGTCAAAGCGGGAGTCGGCCAGTCCTGAGCACTATCCACTCGCACAAATCGGTGGAGTAATCCATCCAGAGATTGGGGTTCCCTAGAATTGGTTGGTTTCCCTTAGGACTTTCAGAGGGGAGCAAGCCCTGCGTCGCTTTGCGGGCTACTAGTCCCCTGAACATGACACTAGCCTCAAAGGGGGGCCCTCTGGTTTTGGAGACCAAAGAGGTTTGGCGTCTTCAAATGGAATCTCCTTAAAATATATATATATATATATTTTTTGCCCAACTGAAACATGGCTTTTTCAACACCAACATAAAGTTGGAAGCCACCATTTACAAGTTGCAATGTTCAGGTGTTTTTCATGTAAGGATCCCTGTTCAAACGGATGCTGTGACCTTGATCTTGGGGAACGGGGCAAGTGTAGCACACTTTAGAAGTCAAAGCAAGCCCTTTCTGCCCTATGACAAGGCGCTTCGCATTTTCCGGCTGCGAAGGCTTCCTTGATCATTGACCCCTGCCCTCCCTCCTTTGCGGGGAGTCCAGCAATCTCCAGCTTAGAGCCTCGCAACATGTTCCAGTAGCACCCCAACACCAAGAGGCACAGACCCTGCTTGGGCGCCGACCTGTTCTTTGGGACCCCAAAGTCAAGTCGAGCAACACACCTGCAGCTTAGGAACAAGCGCGCGGGCAAGGCGGCATCATTGCATTTTGGCCGAGAGAAGGGGGTGCGTTCCGCAGGCTCGCTGATAGGGTACATGTTCCGCTATCTTTGTTGTCATGTGGTTGTTTATTTAAGGTTCACTTGCTTGTTCATTTAAGGTTCACTAGATGTGTGTTGTCGCTGTGTTCTAGTACTTTGCATAGCTCGACGGCAGCAGCGGAGAGCGGGGCTGCCATGCGTTTCTGGCGCGTTTCACTACACAGGGTGCTGGTGCATGTAAAGCACGTACGCATATATACATATATATATATATATACACATTGTGTATAATATATATATATATACATACATTCTTATGTAATTGCATATACGCATATTACTGTATATATATATATATAAGTACATGTGATACCATCCAAGCCAGTCCGGGACAGTGCATAGCTGCCGGTGTTTAGGCTCATGGGGGAGCCGGTGTTTCTTTTATTGTACTAGCCCCGGCCGGGGCTCAATCCGGATAGAGGGCTGTTGGTTGGTTGGTTGGTTGGTTGGTTGGTTGGTTGGTTGGTTGGTTGGTTGGTTGGGCGGCCGCATCGCCAGCATCCCCGGTTAGGGCTGTGATTTGGTGGTTGTTGCCTCCAACCTAACAGGGTTCCCAGTCAACCTATTTGGAGGTGAGGCCTTGTGCTGAGCCGGGGCTAGTAAAAACAAAAAACACCTCAAGCTGCTCATGGGTGAGCATGAACACTGTTCAATCACCGGCCAACATGTTGACATGCATCGGGCTGTCAAGGCAAGTCTTGCCTAAGGGAATACAAACAAGGGCGAGCTTGAATTGGACGGACGGGATGGACGTACAGATGGACGAATGGGTTGATGGGCCTTCACCCGCAATGATGTGAATGGGGCAACCTGGCCCTTTTGCTTCCATGTGCTTAAGAATTTGTTTTGTTTCCCCTGTTGAATCTAACACTACTGTATGTTCCCCTGTTGCTGTTTAATGGGAATCTATCACTGGACAGTTTGCGTTTGTTTTCCCAGGGGATGAACAACGCCTAGGTCCCCCAGTAGTGCCCTTTCGCACTCTTTTTTGGTTGGGAGATTCGGTTCCCCTACTAAAATTTAGACTACAGAAAGAAAGAACAAAAAGTTGGTACCAACTTATTCTAACCTCCCAAATCTGGAGGACCTTTTTTCGCCAGTCTGGCAGTGGCAGTCTACCGTTCGTGACTCCGAGGAGTGAGATCGTGTCAGTGTCACAAAAGAACCAGATGCTCAAGCAGGCCCACCTTTCGACCGTCCCGGATCGGATCGGATCGAGCGCCATGCGAGCGCCCAACGAGCGAAAGAGCGCCGTGAAGGGTCCGTGAAGCTTGGGGAATTCATTCTTCCTATGTGAACATGGGGTGTGATGCATGTGTTTTTATTTTTATTGTATTTTTTCCCGAGGGAATTTTTGTTTGGGTTGCTTCTGTTGAACCAAAGGGATGGCACTGGTTGGATTCCCTCAGGTCACAGGCCAACCCGATTGGGAAACTCGGTGAGCCGAAGCCCCGCAACTCGTGAGTTCGCGGATGAACTTTGGCTTTCGTGGGACGTCTTGGGCGGGCAATTTCCCCTTCTCACGTCAGCCTCTTTGCAGTTTTGGGTCAGCTGTAGGCATGGGCGCGTGTTGGCTGTGGTTGTCAAAACCAATGGGATCCCATTTTGGGGTAGGTGCACCACCCACTTTAGAACCTATTTTAGTGGGGATTGGGATGTTCACTCGGGGTACGGGATTTTGACCCATGGCCATGGCCAATTGAGCTTTTGACAAGGTTCCTTAGATTTCTATACCCCAAACAATCCAACGTTAAAGTCCACTCAAAAAAGGGAACTATGGTGTGAACTTAATGGGAACCCTCCCGGTTTGGACAATCCTCGGGGTTTCATGTCCACCAACTATTTTTCAGGTGATTCCCTCTCCAAGTCGAGACTGGTTTCCTTCCATTTTCCAAGGCCCCCAACTTCCGGAACCTCGGCAAATCGGGGGGGGGGGGGGGGCGGGTTCTCCGTTGAGCGATTAAGACGTTGGTGGGTGACACCCCGAATAGGATTACGAACCCGGGGTGTCCACTACTTCCATGGACCTGAACTAGAGGAGCATGTCCAACTTACAAGTATTTCCAAGCAGAGTGCCTGAGGGACAAACCACGCGGCTGTTGCTCAACTTTCTTGTTGCATCTCCAGCGCGTGGATTGTCACCTCAAATATGTGGCGACGAGAAGAGCTTCAGGAGTTTAGGTCCCATTCCTGTGTGATACATGGCAATCACTTGTGAAGTGGAGATACCTTTGGCGCATTTTGCTTGGCTGTTAGGACTTTAACTTTTTGCCAACGAATGGGTTTTCCATTAAAACACTAAAAGTTAAACTTTTAGCAGGGGAGCAGAAAGCAACCAAGATACAGTCATGGAAATGGCCACTTTGGAATCACAAGGGTGATGTCAACCGCAACCGCAACCGTGCGGTGGTTTGTGAGCCAAAGTGGTTTTAAGCACTCGCCGCGGGGGGGGGGGTTCTGAATGCCTCCGGTTTTTTTCGGGGGGGCCACCTGCAGAAGGGTTTGACTCCGGTTGTGTTCCAACAAAGGAACCCGCCCCCACGCCTTTCAGCTTTTCGTGCCGGAAAACGCGCCATGGCCTCGGATTCCAAGTCCCACTGCCGGTCTCGTGGCTCTCAAAACGAGCGATGTGTCCATAGAAAAAGCCAATGGAACCGTGACCCTTTCTTTGGCGCATTTTGCCAAGGGCTGTTAGGACTTTAACTTTTTGCCAACTAATGGGTTTTCCACTAAACCACCACAAATTAAACTTTTAGCCGGGGAGCAGAAAGCAACCGAAATTTAGAGGGTTAGAGACTTCAGCGTCGGCTGTTTTGACCAAAGGGAGTCAAGTGTCGGCAAGTCAGGACTGGGACCTTTGGCCGACCTCCGTTTGCTGGAATGAATATGTTGTATGTTTTTGTGTTGGTGTTCAAATATAGTTTTGTATTTTTCACATATATATTTTTATATATACATATATATATATATATTTATTTATTGATTTACTTCTTTTCTTTTTTTGTGGGGGCCACAAGCGCAAATGGTAGTCGACATGATTTACATTGCTTGCACATCCACCAGCCATGATTCAGGGTGTTGTTCTTTCTGCAACAGTGAGATGCATTTGCTCACTTTCCCCCCAAAGATCAATCCCAAACGGTGCATTCCTGAAACCCGGAAGCAGCTTCCTGAGAAGCAGAGCACGAAATGGATGTGGTCTTCCTTCGTATTACCCACAAAAAGCTCCCTTCAATGTGGTTGGATTACCAGTACCCACCAAGGCTACCCAGCCGAAAATGATCGAGCGACCCACAGGCGGTTGCAACTTGGGTTGAGGTACCCCTGTCTTTGTGATTTTTTTTAGGGAAGCGAACAGGAAAACCAATGCCAGTTTGGGGGTCCACTGCCAACATAGACGTGTGTCTCGAATCAGGAACCAATGCCAGCTAGGTGGTTTCTTTGTGTCTGTCTTTTGAAAACCATCAGCTACCAATTCTCCTTGTGGTTTCCTTTGAAACCCCATCCAAACATAGGGGTCCGATTCCTATTCTCAGACACACCCATAAAAACCAGCGTCCCCTATTTTGAGACACGTCTCAAAAAAGAGGCGACAGACCAGGCCCAGAAAGTCTTTGGCACCGAAAAGAGCATCCAGGCGAGCCTTTTTTTGTTTTTTTGCACACGGCCCGGTTTCCCCTTTAAAGGAAGCAACAGGCTTCCCAAGCAACCGTTTGCTTTGCCTTTAAAGGAAGCCATGGGCTTCCCGGTTTCTTCCCCTGGTTGTTGTTGGGAAACAGTTTTTTTGGGGTTAATGTATTTTTGCTTATTGTGGTTTGGTGGTTGAAATCCAACCGCTTAACTGATAAAAGTGAGAAATCTTTGTTGCTCCCCTTCCAACTTCAACTTCAAGTTTTCTTTTGGCTAGGAACAAGCCCCAAGTCCGCAGGCCGAAAAACTACTTCGGGGAGTTGGCCCTGAATTTTGGTTTGCCTCAGTTGTTCAGTGGCACCCTTTTTCCCTCTGTTTTCGGTGGCTGCCCCACTAAAAATGGTCTTCCCAAAAAATGGTTCCAGTTTTTTTGCCAGGGTCACTGAACAACTGAGTTGCTCCCCTAACGTCTAAGACTCCGGTGCCTTCGGCAGGAGCTGAGCCAGCTCCAGGGCTCCTTGGAGGAGGCGAGCACCGCGGCGGCGGGCGGGGACGAGGAACAGGAGGAAGAGGAGGAGGCGGGGCGAAGACGTCGGCCGATGGGACCGAAGACGTTTTTGGGAGTCCAGTCTTTTTGGTGGACTCCGGCAAGGGAGGTATTTTTTGTGGAGTCCGGTCTTCGGGGGGTAGGTGCAAGGGAGGTAGGTAGTTGAGAGCCGGTTTCGGGTTCCTGAAAGGGTGATGTACCTGCAGCATCCATTGATACATCATTTTTTGCTTGAAATATGTACCTGTTCTAAAGTAAAATCATGTGCCCGTCGGAGCCCATTCCCTGCAGTGTTTGGGATTTTCGCTTGTTTGCACTTTGTCGCACTTTTGTGCGCTCATTTGCGCTCGTTTTGCACTTTGTTTGCGCTCGTTTCGTCGATGACTCTTCCCAAACTCGCCTCTGTGCTCGAAGCCCAGAAAAAAATGCTCGAAAGCAATTGCGGAGGAGAACCAAAACAAAACGCTACACCGTGCCAAGTTTTGTATCGATCCTTTTGAGGAGGCCGAAGTTTTTGGAGGCTCGATCCCGTCGGGTTTTACTAGGCGGGCTCCTTGGCTTTGGGCCGATGGAGTTTTCCATTTGAGGGGGTAGGGTACGGGGAGTTCCTTGGTCCCATTGGACCCACAAAAAGTTCTACAAGAAAAAAGTGCTTCAAATTCTTCTTTTGAAGGATCGAGTCCCCTTTTTCGGGGGGGTACAGGGAGCAGTTCCTGTTTTTTTTGGGATTCTTGGGGTTCTTTCGGGAGGCGTATCGCGATCAAGGATGTCTGGGTTTGAGCTGTTTGGTTGAGACAGCGGAACAGCAGCCAAGGAAGGGGGGCCTTCAGCAGATCTCGCGTCAATAGCCCCAAGTGCGAAAAAATCGCTCCCGTTCCTGGACGTTAGCCACTTTTTGGGTCGGGACCATTGTAGTGGCAAGCAAACAGTTTGGACTTTTTTGGCCAATCCACTCAGAAAGTAAATATTTCTCAATTACTGGGTGCGATTTTCCCAAAAGGAATGCCCATGCACTCACGTAGTTGCTAACTTGGCGACATGTTTTTGACGGATTTACCAATTTGTTAGGGCGATTCCACCGAGTGAGCCATGATGTAGGCCCCCAGCAAGGGGGTCCAACTCATATTTCAGGTTTTGCAATGATTGAAGGTTTTGCCACTTCAGCGGTGAATATCTCACTTAAGCGGTGACTATCTCCCCAGTTCGAAAGTCCCCTTCGTGGGAGTTTCCGTATATAGGTGAGCCACAATCTTTCACCCGGGTAGATGAAGGTTAGATGGTACGGATTATGAGTTGGTGCATATATGGGTATGTCTCAAAATCGGAATCCAAACCCCAAAAAGGCAACGGTTTTCCTTTGGTTTCCCTTTCAATCCAGCCAAAAGGGGGTACCAACTCCGAGCAAGACACCCAGATCTCCGGGCTCTTGATTCTTGGCATGACAGGCTGTGGGTCCATTTTGTTTTTGTCCCCCCAAGATGTTGAAGCCTGGTAAAATGAGGCGGCTCTCAACTACCCACCCCTCCGTAACGTACCGTACCCCCCCAGGCTGGGATTCCATGAGTAAATGGAAGCATGGACCAACACCTGCGGGGTGATTTAAGGTTGACCCAGGCCCAGGTCCGTTGAACATTTGATTCAGGCACCGGGGGCCAACAAAAACCAGCCAACGTGGACCCCCCCAAAGAAATGGTTCTACCTGTTTGCTCGGAAGACCAAGTTGGCAACCTAACCCACTACAAATCAACAAGGCACCCCAGAACAGGGTCCCCGCAAGGAGACTCCTCTACAAGTTGGTAGGCATGAACGCCAGCTATCCTCTCCGTTTATCTGCTGAAACACAGCCTGATGTTGCATGCAGATGTTTGAAGGTTCTACAGGTAGGTTGGTAACCTATAACCTAGGCAAAACCCCCCTACACCCCCTAAGGGGTTGTCTGAAAATATTGTTTTCCCTTTCAAACCACCAAAAAACCCAACATGGTGGTGTTCCTGTTGGTTTCCCTTTCAACCACCAAAATGGGTTTCCCTTTAAAACCGCAATAAAATAGAACAAAGCAGTGGTTTTCCTGTGGGTTTCCCTTGAAAACCACCCAGTTTTGGGGAACCAAGTTAACAACAGACCCAGGTTTCAACCCGCCAGGACGACGACGATTGTGATGAGATCCCCGAGTCCTTCCGAAAGTCCGAAGAGAGCCAATTCGGCCGCAAGTCAGCGCTCTTGAATGGTCCATCCCAGCCTGAGGTGTCCAATTTTTGGTTGTTTTAGTCGAAAAATAGGTGGCGATTCCTGGTTTACCTGGTGGTTTACTCATCTACCAGGGCCATCCATTTCGCCTAAAAGCACACCTATATGGTCCCAGCCGTCCTTAGATGTGTTTAGATGCTTTTAGGGGGGGGGGTTCCAGAAAGGTCGAGTCGCGTTCCAGAAAGGGGTTTAGGTGTGTTCCGTGGATTTGGTTGGGTGTCCGAAGTTGACCCACAAAAGTTGGCTTGGAGCGGGGGATCTGAGGCTCTTGGGGTTGAGGATGGACCCTCAAAGGGTTCCGCTGGTTTAGGTGAGTTTCATGCCATTCAGGGGCCGTCGTCGTTTTTGTTTTTCTCAAAATGGGACGCCTATGATTGTAGATTGCCCGACTTATTTGAGCCAGGAACCGATGTGGGTAGATTGTAAAGGGCAGTCTCAGCCAGAAATAGCTGACATCGGCCCTTGTAATCTCCTTACGTGGATGTTGGGTAGACCGCTTTAGTACCGATCGGATTTGATTGTGACTCTCTTGAGGTTTTAGACTCAACCAGTTTTGACCCCGGCTGAATAATGACTATGAAAACACCTACCCGCCCACTCTAAATACCAACTTGTTCCTGGGTATGTTTGAGAATTCACGCGTTCTCCCCATTTTGGCAAACCACTTCCTACTTTTGCAATTCCAAATTCCCAGCTGTATTTTGGGTATATACTCCTGACTAAAAAAGGCGGTATTTGCGATGAACACCCAACATTGATGGAGTCAACTCCAGATAGAATCTGAAAAAGTGTTCTACTCTACTGACACTTTACTCATTTGGCCCAACATCCAAGTACCTGGACTCTCAAACTACACATAAAACGGGGAAATCACCCCACATCGTTGGGGCAATATCCAATGTTTTTTCCAGGTACGCCCTCCTCATAGGATTCAAGGCTGCCCGCCCTCTTTGTCAAAACTGGGGTAGACTTAGGATACATTTTACTTTTTGCCAGTGACTCAAAAGGAAGCAAGATACATTCTATAACTGGGCCTAAGTCTAATCATGAAAACTCGACCCAAATTTCCGACTCAAGTTTGCTTTAGTCTCCAGACATTTTATAACTATTTCTAGATTGTGTGGACCGACGTTATCAATTCTATGAAGCGTTATTATGAATTCTGTGAGCCGTTGTTTTCTCCTAAACTTGGTGGTTCCCAGCCCCAATCTTGGTGGTTCCCAGCCATCCTGTTAGGCCTTTAGGTTTGTAGGGTTTAGGCGCCATTTTGGGGTTACCCGTTTTTTGACCCACCCCCACATTTTTGCCCTCGGATCCCCTGCTGAAAGTCTTACTCTTAATTTAGCGGGTTAAGTGGAAACCCCACCAAACACCAAAAAACTAGAAAGCTAAGGAACCGGATGGCTGGGAGCCACCAAGTTGAGTCTGGGTCCCCATATCTTGACAACTACCCGCCAAGTGCGCAGGGGCGCCACTCGTTCCCCGCCCGTTGCGTAGGCATGGGCAAGACCCGCACCTCCGTGAGCGCGGAAGCCTACGGCACTTGGAACCAGAAGCAGGCGCCTTTTGGAGAAGCTCCGGCGCGCCGGTTGCTGGTTGGGTGGTCCTTAGACTTAGAACCATAGCTGGTGGTGGTGCGTTGGTTGGTGGTTGGGTGGTTGGGTGTTCCATAGGTGGTGGTGGTGCGCTGGTTGGTGGTTGGTGGTTGGGTGTCCTCTTGATCGGTTAGTTTGATTAGGACTAGATAGGTTCCACCGGTTTAGATTGGCTTTTTATTCCATTTGCCAGGACCGTCTATTTTTTTATATTTTTTTTCCCGAACGGTCAGCTATGCCACCTATGCTTAGAGCCTCCAAAATAGCCAGTTACCTTGGTTTCCCCTTAAAGCCCACTAACAGGGGTTTCCCGAAAAAGACGCAAGTGGTTCATCAACCAGTAGTGTTCATCCATCCCATTGTCATTGAAGGGGATTCTAAGATTTTCTTCGATGGCCGTGGATGGTACGAGCCATGTTTGGCCCTTTGCTGGGCGTTGAGTTTGCTGAGTGTGCGGCACCCCCCGTCTCATTTTTCGAGGGAGAATGCGGCACATCCTTCCAGCAAAGGAGTGGGGGTAATCTCTGCTTGTTGGTGGAGCCTTACCAGATGTGGGTGTTGTTTTTTGTAGGGGGACGCCGGTGGTTTCCTGTTGATTTCCCTTTAAAGCCACAAAAAAGTGGGTACCCTCAAAACAAGACACCATGGTGAACCCCCTTTTTGGTTGGCTATGGGAAACACACAATTTGTCTTGGCCTTTGAGAAACCTCCCTTTCCGGGTGGAAACAAGCCTTTGGCTGGTTTTCGCTCTCTCTTTTGCCATTCGATTCGAATCGGACTGGAAACGGTCCCGGATGTGGTTCAATGTTTTTGTTTTTTCTTTCCGGGGGGGGGGTTCTGGGAATTGAAACTCTAAGCGTGCCAGCAAGAACTACTTAACCTGGGGCGTGGCGTGGATTCTGTAACCATCCAAAGCTTCCATTTGCGTTTCAGAATATGTGTTCAATTACCGCCAGTTGGTTTAGGGAATCTATCGCGGTTGGACATATGCTCCCTTTTTTCCAGGGGACAAAACATGCACATGGAGGAAAGTATGTCAGCTTCCCCGTGATTGGTGGTTTGGTGGTGCTCCGGCGGCGGGAACGGAACCCCCATTGGCCCACAAGAGGCAGGGACCCGTTCAAATTCTCCAAATCCAAGCCACCAACCAAGGGGTACCTCCCGGCTCCACGAACCACAGGGGAATTACCTGAGTATTGAGCTTCTTGTTTTTTTCTTTCTCGAAATCCAGGGGGTCCAACTATTGAGCAGTTTTGTTTTTTTCCTTTTTTTTTTTTTTCTCGATGTTTTTTCCCGAAATGCAGGGGGTCCAACCTTCTACCCCGTCGGATCTTTGGAGCAACCCCCTCAGCTTCGGGGAAAAACGTGGGATTGCAAGGCTTGGGTGGTCCAGGACCCCTTTCAAAGACTTGGCTTGCCTTTGTCACTAGGTGCTTTTTTGGGGTGTCCATCCGTTTTCCTCTTTCTCCATCAAGAAGTTTGGGGTTAGGTACTGTCTTGAGTACCAATTTTGGTCCCTTCGAGCGATAGGCGCTTGCGGTTCCGTCTTGCCTCGTCTCGGGCTCGCAGTTCGGCGTCTCGTCCGGCTGTGTTGCCAACCATCATGATGCGGGAAGCGAGAAGTTTGGCTTTCTGCAATGAGTCTGGGCTTGGAAACCCAAGAGCCGCATGACTGGCATAAACCGCCCTCCGACTGGTGTGAAGCGGATTTTGTTCAACCACACTAGTTGGGAAACTTGCTGGTGCTCAGAAGGGAATGACCGTGCCGGTTTTGGGACTGAACTTAGGGTTTCCCTTAAGAATGATGCCAAATCGGGGATGTTTTTTCTTGGGGCCTGCCAATCGAACCAGCAAGCTAAAGGGGGGAATCCCCAAAACAAGCCCAGGATAAGCCAAGGACAAGCCCTCAATAAGGCCTTAAGCGGTTCATAAGGCATAGCCCCCCTCCCCAACGGCCCCTAAGGGGCCATGAGTCTATGCAGCCGCCGTTTTTGTTTTGTTTTTTTTCTTCAGGCCTTCACGCCGCCGGACCACCCGAAGACGGACGAGCAGAAGCAGCGCCTGAAGCAGACCTTGTCCAAGAGCTTCATGTTTTCCACCTTGGAGGCGACCGATCGACCGCCGGGGTTTGGAATTGAGAGGAGAAAGAACCGATCGACCGCCGGGGTTTGTTGAAGAGGATACACAATTTGTGGGGAGTGTCGTTTTTTTTTCTTTTTCTGTAGGCTTCCCGGTTGCTTTAAAGGGAGAGACCAACAAGAAACCAGGAGTTTGGGTGTGCCGTCCGTACTTTAAGAACCAGCCGTACACATGTATAGTTATAATAAATCCTAAACCCTAAGCCCTGAGACCTAAACCTGTAGAGAGGTATAGAAAGTGTGACTTTCCACATTCTCATCTCCAACGTCGTAAGGCTCGGAGTAAAAAAGGAGGACCCTGAACAGTGGTGGACATACCAGAATGTGTCTCAAAAAGACGCCACCCACTTGGGAAAGGGCCCCCATTTTTTTGAGAACTCCCACATTAAAAACTTGCCCCATAGCTGCACGATCTATGTTCATATAACCTGCTACAGGTACCTTCCCCATTCTTGTCAGGGATCCGAATCGTTTCAGGAAACCCTCAAAACCCAGGGGAAACGGATCCGGTTTTTGAAAAGAACGATGGTTGAAAAGAATGGAAAAGGAATGCAACCCCTAGACACCTGCTACCTGGTCCCCCCAAACGCGTGGCGGATCCCTCCGTTTTGTTTTGACGTGGCGTGAGCCGTGTGACGTGAGGAGAAGGACATGCAGCTGGTGATCGGGGCCATGAAGGAGTGCAAGTGGCTTGGACTGGTTTCGTGCCCCCCAGTTAGGTGCCCTGAAAAGCCCTTTTTTGGTTGGTTTTGGGTTCCCCTACTGAAGTAGACTGCAGAAAAAGGGTACCCTTATATACTTACCTCTCTACTAGAGGACCTAGCCTCGAAAACCCAGGGGAAACAACCAGTTTGTGGCAAAAAAGATGGAAAGAATGGGGGAATCAAACCTAGATGGATTGGTTTCTGGTTTGGTGTTTGGTTTGGTTTGACTTGGCTGAGGTTGATTTCCTGGTTGGCTGATTGGTTTCATTGAGGTTTGAAGATTCGAGTTGGTTGAGTTGGATTGAATGGGATCCGGGATTGATCAGCAGGGAATGAGTTTTTGTGTACCTATAGCCCATCCCCTATGGTTTCGTGTACGGGAATCCTCCGGTTCATTCCCAACACGCGTCATTCCTACTGAGCACCAGCGATCTAATTCACGGTTTGAAAGGGATGTCATCAGTACGAGGGACGAGGAAGGAACCCATTAAGCCGTGGGCGTCTCACAAACACCCCCAGAATGTATGTCTTGCACAGAAACCCTGCCAAAGCTCGAATCTTTCTGCGGGAGGACATAAACTAGGTGCCCCAATAGTGCCCTTTTCCCATTTTTTGGGGGAGGGATCCGCTACTAAAATAGACGACAGAAAAAAAGGGTACCCTTATTCTAACCTCTCTACTGGAGGACTTAGGACAATCATGGAAGTGGGTTCTGGCGGGGGGTTTCCCAAAAATGGGAACGTACGAAAATCTGCCACATGGTCAAAGCTAGGGACGTCTGCAGATTCGAATCCACAGCTGGAAGATCAAACAGGCACCTGTACCCGCTTCCGCTATTTTCCTGATGAAAGGGAAAGCCACCCATACTCTCCTTCCACCAATGGAAGTGGACGTGGGGCTTCCCCGAAAGGAAAGTGTTCATCTTCCAAAGCCGGAGGGTTTTCTAAAAGGTTCCCAGTTTCAGCGACAAACAGCGTATGCCAGCAGGTTAGCACCTCAGCCATCAGGGTAACATCATGTTTCGACCGTCTCACATGTCTTGGCCGCACTTTCGCCATGGTCACACGACTTTTTCCCTGGTGTTTTGCATGGGGCACCAATCCACCAGGCGACTCCCGACAATCACAAGGATATGGGTCGGAGCGCCCATCAATCAGTGGCCTGTTGTCGCTTAAACATCCATCCCCTTAGGGCCGCCCTAAGGCAAAGAATCCGACAAGGGGACCCGTTCAACTGGTTCGAACACAGCGCGAATAAACGGGCTCCGATCGCTTGCACCAAAGGACCACTATGTGTCATCCGAAAGGAAGGCCACTTGTGATCGAACCAGGAACCATTCTCTTCACCCATCGTTTCTTCTGAAACCACCTATTTTGTCCGGCGGTTTGGCCGATTGTTTGAAGAGAAGGATCCAAGGCCAGAACAATAAGAGAGCGCACTTTTTCCCTTTCTGCCAGGGGGCCCCTAAGAGGGGACACACCGAAAGCACCCAATTAAGAGGGTGCGCTTTTTGACAGACATAGGACCTTTGGAACCTCTCGCCTGAGGTTCGAGGCGAGTGCGAAGGTCATCAACGAGGGCGACAACGGGGACTTCTTGTTCGTCATCGAGAAGGGGGCGCTGAATTGCCTGAAGTCCGTGGGTGGCGAAGAGAAGGCGAGCCATGATGCCATGGGGATGTTGGCGGGAGCGGGGACTCTCCTTGGAGCCAAGGGTTCACCCAGATGAAGAGACCTGTCCTATTAGGGGCGGCTCCAAAAGTTGTTTGAGCCCCCTTTTATAGTGGGGGGCACACCCGTACTAAGTATGGCCCTATGAGTCAACCAGAGATTTAGAAATCTGGGGTTTCGATTGAGGCCTTGCTAAGGCCTTATGGGTTTATAGGTGACCGCCGCCCCTGCTGCAGTCCTTGCATGTCCATGGTTGTTTGTAAGTAGGATTTTAGTGTGGGGATGGGATTCCCACTAAAGGTGGCATTAGTATTTCAAGGGAACTCAAGATGAGAATCATCATTTTGGGGGATCTCCCTATTTTGACATACCTCAATTCGGGTTCCGGACCAGGTTTTGGCTGACATTCAAAGGGACACCAAACGTGCACCCATTGGGGGAGGGGGGGGAGGGGTGGGGGCGATTCCGATTTTGCGACATGGGAAGCTTTGTCAATTATTAAGGTTCCAACAGGCAAAAGAGCGATTGGGTTTAGTGGTTGATGAATACGGGGATATTCCAGGTTCAGTCACCTCAGAAGACATCGTAGAGATTGTCGGCGACTTTACTACTGACCCCTACCCCTTCTGAAGTTCATAAGCCAGGTGGTGAAGACGGTGAACGAGGGCGACGTCTTCGGGGAGTTGGCCTTGTTGTACAACTGCCCCCGCGCCGCATCGGTGGTGGCCAAAGATGTGCCTGGGATCGAAGAGTTGAACCTCCCCCAGCTAGGTGCAAGCTTTCTCACCCATTTTTTGGGGGTTGGTTTTGGGTTCTACTAAAATAGACAAATCTGAAAAAAGTTGTGGCTGCCCCACTAAAATGGTCTTCCCAAAAAAGGGTTCCCTTTTTTTCCAGGGTCACTGAACAACTGAGATTCCAGTAGAACAGGATCTCTCTCCAGTTTTGTCCTTCGGGATTTTACAGGGCACCCTTTGGTTCACAAGGTAGATGGAATGAAGATGTTGAAGGGGGTTGGCCTGAATGTCAACAGGGCGCCCCCTGGGTACCCAAAGAATAAAAACACCAATAGCTCCTAGGTCCCCCGTAGTGCCCTTTAACCCTGTTTTGGTTGGGATGGTTCCCCTACTACAAATAGACTACAGAACAAGTTGGTACCAACTTATTCTATCCTCTCTACTGGAGGACCTAGAATAGCTACGGTGCCTACAAATAAGTAAGTTGAGGGCCAAGCCGGAAGGCGTCGGAGGTAGTGCATGTCTTTCTATTTGATCCGCTTGTTCAAAGGGCGGGCACGAGGTAGCAAAAAGAGGTAGCAAAAATATCCTTTTAAATATTCGCTCCGCTTGTTGAAGGGAAGCAAGTTGGTTATGTTCCAACTGTTGGGCGTCAGAAGAAGTCTCGAATCTAGTATGTGTGTAAAGGAATGTGCGCCGTTGAATCCGTTGAATGGCCTCCGTAAGGACTGGCGTTTGCATGTGATGCTATGGCGTGGGCTGTACCTTGCGTCCGCGGCTCCTCATGCCTTCCGCGGGTAGGTTCAACAAGATCTTTGTTTCATGGTTTTGTCAGATGAATTGTCATAAGGACCCACTTCAAAAGTCTTGGGACATGAATCCTCAGCTAACCCAGAGGGTCCAAGTACCTCCTGATGGCTTTTCGGGGGTAAAAAGGGGTCGTTCAGTACCTCCTTAGAAGGCACCAAGGGACCGTCTGGGGCTAAGTCCCCTGGACCGTTTTTTGTTTTTTTTTCCAGCCCAAAAATCGGTCTGAGGAATGCATTTGCTGGCAGCTGGACCGCGAGTCCTTCAACCACATCGTGAAGGACGCCGCGGTGGCCCGGCGCAACAAGTACGACGAGTTCCTGAGGCGATCCGATTCCAATCGATCCGAAGATCCGCCGGGGATCCGGGGGGGATCCGGTTTTTTCTTTCCTTTTTTTTTGCGGGGGATCCAAAGGGTGGTTGGCATTTGGTTTTTTAAGGGGCAGCTGAGAGAAGGGTGGGGTTTGCCTCGAGAGCGCTTTGATGAAGGTTCCGTTCCTTTCATGGTGACCCAAAAGCGATTTGGGCGGCACATGATGCGCGTATGAACATATATATATATAGATATTTATATATTTATAGTAAACTATGTCTTGAGTCTTGACAAAAGGACGGTGTTTAACCCAAAAGACGGTGTTTACCCGTGAATGGCCCGTGAATGGGGTACTTGTTGGCCGGGCCCACGTGTGAAGTCAGCTGGGCTCGAAATTGAAAGCACCATCAAAGGTCCGGTGATGCAACCTGCATGCCTGCATGCCAAACAATGTACATTTCGATGCTTGTAGGCTAGCTGTGCTGTCTGGGAATCGCTGACAATATTGATTTGTTTTTGTATGCTTCACCAATATCGCTGACAAATCGGGGACCGTGAGCCAACCGTGAATTTTGCGTGAACGACGGAGTTTACCCATGAAAGACGTGAAACAAAACGTGAATTTGCCCCTCCCCCCTCCCGGCCCCCCCCTTTCCTAGATCCAAATACCACAGCCTGCTGATTCGGTCTGCAACAATTGCATGGCTACAAAGCTGTTTGCCCAGCTATGCGGCGCGGACTAGATCCTTGGGCCTGCAAAAGTTGGCCGCATGTGCGCATTGTACATTGGATTTTTCTGTGTAATGTGCATGGCAAGCGCGGACATCAAACCTCGGTGTACTTTTCAGAACAGTGCTATTGCAAGCCCTGAAGTGCAAATTGTGGTGTGTCCAGCCAGCCAATGGATGATTCTGGCCTTCAACCCGTATGGCCCAGGCTTCAAGGCTTGTTTCCTTATGGGTGCGCCAAACCTGACATGGACCAGTGGAAATCCCTTATTGGTTAACCCTTGTCATATCCCCCCCATGTCCGAATCAGGTGGCCAAGGCCAACATCGAAAACAATCCAAACCCAGCGAATCCAACTGGGTTCCATTTGCTTAAGACTATTTTGCACGCAGTGTTGCAACCAGTGGGTTGCTTCCTTTTTTCAACTTTTTTGGGGAAGGGTTCCTTGAAAGTCCACCAACCAACAAAGGATGCCCTGTTTTTCATATGGCCACTGGGCATTTGGGTGTGTTTTCCCTTGTTAGGTGTCAAAGGGAATCGATTTCTCTACTGGACATATTTTTATTATTCTTTGCAGGGGGCTTAAGCACATCGAAGTTCACCTTTGTGGGTTTCCATCATGTTACCTTTCGGCCAGAAAAACAGTTTCACTTTTTGCAGGGGTTCTAAGTCTAGTCTGGTCAAGAGATTGGGCGAAGCCCCGCAATGGCATCGGCTTCCCTTGGGACTCCCATTGTGTGAGTAGTTATTTGTCTACCACGGCCGCAAATTCCAGCGACTGTGTTTTGCCCGATTGTCCCTGCCCAAACTTCCTGCCCAAAAAGCAAGCGGGGATGCTGGAATTGGTTTTCCTCCAACTTTTGCCAGGAGAAAACCCATGGTTTTCAACCAGTGCATTCTTCTTTGACTCTAGACTTACCTTCTCCTGCCCCAAACTCTTCCGAGCAGTTTTGTTGACTGGTTCGGGAAAAACAATCTGTGATGCATGTCCAGCAACGTTCCTGGACTCGGATGTCCCTCAACAATTCCCCCCCCCCCCCCCCCGTGGTTTTTGCGCCGCGTTGACGCGCTTTAACCCCGACGATCGCCACAACCATGTTGAAAAGAAGGCATTTCTTCGCCAACAAGGTTTCAGCAAAAGTCGTGCGTGTTCCTCTTAAACCCCACTACCTTTTGTGGTCTCCAAACCATTTCCCCCCCCAAACCATTTCCCATTTCCCCCATTTCCCCCCCGAAACCATGTCCTCCCACTTCCCCCGAAACCAGGAAGCCCGAAAGCGGGCCCCGAAACGCCGTGTTTTGGCGCCACGTTTTCATCTTGCATGTTGTCGTGCATCAGCCTGCATGTGGTCGTTTTGTTTTCCTCTTAAACCCCACTGAATCATTGTGGTCTCTGAATCATTGCCAAACCCTCTATTGATCACCCGCCCCCGAAACCATCTCCCATTTCCCCCATTTCCCAAATTTTTCCCCGAAACTCAATGTCCCCAGCAAGTTGCCCCCCCGAAACTGGGGAAGCCCGACACCGGGCCCCGAAACGCCGCTTTTTGGCGCCGCGTTTTGGCCCCGGGAGGTCCGTGAATCTGCTGTCCTCCCTGGGGGACTACGAGCGCTCCCAGATCTCCGACGCGCTTGTGGCGGAGACCTGCAAGAAGGGGGACACCATCGTGAAGCAGGCGGTCGGGTGAACGGCCATTTCTCTGGACCTTTCTTGGGCGTGTTTTTTTGTTTGTGTGTGTGTTTTTTTTTTTTTTGTGGGGGGGCCTTGGGGAGTTTGAGTTTCTTTTTTTTGGAGGGGGGGCCAGCCTTGTGGAGTTTGAGTGTTTTTGTTTTTTTCCTCAACAGCTGAAAGCTTTGGGGTCTCAGCCCAGATAGGCTCCGGGGTGGTCCGGGGCGGCCCTGAGGTAAGGTTCCACGAGGGTTCCACCAGGGTTCCACCAGGGTTCCAAGAGGGTTCCACCAGGGTTCCACCAGGTGGCTGCGGGTGGTCCGGGGTGGTTTGAGGTAAGGTTCCACAGGGTTCCACCAATTTCTTCAAGAGCTGCGGGGTGGTCCGGGTGGTTTGAGAAAGGTTCCAGGCTGCGGGGTGGTTTGAGGAAGGTTCCACGAGGGTTCCACCAGGTTCCACCAGAGTTCCACCAGGGTTCCACCAGGGTTCCACCAGGGTTCCACCAGGTTCTTCAAGGGCAGCGGGGTGGGGCTGCAGGGTGGTTGGGCCACAAGGGTTTACGAGGGTTTCACCAGGTTCTGCAAGGCTGGTCCGTGGTTGCGGTAAGGTTCCACGAGGGTTCCACCAGGGTTATCCACGGTTCCACCCGCTGTGATACGGGGTGGTCCGGGCTGGTTTGAGGTAAGGTTCCATGAGAGGGTTCTGCGAGGGCTGTGGGATGGTCCCGGGCGGCCCTGAGGTTTCACAAGGTTCCACAGAGTTCCGCGAGAAATGTGTGCAAGGTTCAGTGTGTCGTGCGCCCCGCCGTCTGAAAAGCCATTGCTCATGGGCGGAACACTAAGCAAAACCGAAATCAATGGTTTTCAGCACATTTTCATTGTTTTGTCACCTGCTCACTTGCTCAGGCAACGCGGCCCGAAATGTTGGCTTTTTTGCAAATCAGATCACGTTGCTGCGGGACTCACGGTGCAGTGGAGTAAATGCTTGGCATTGCTGGGTATTCCTTGGTGGGCTTTGAGTTCAAAGAATTAAAAAAACGCTCCACGGGGTTTCCGCCAGGTTATGCAAAAGCCATGAAGCGGCCCTGAGAAAAGGTTCCAACAAAGTTTCACGCTGAGTTCTACAAGGGTTCCACAAGGACGGTTTGCGAGGTTCACCGGGCCCAGGTCGGGGCCCGATTGCACCGTCGGGGCCCGAGCGGCCCCAATTGCGCCATCGCGCCCCAAGCCCCGCCAACTGTACCAAGCTGGCATCGCCTAGTTTTGCTAGGTACAGTTGTAAGGCCGCATCCTAAGGAAAGCCGGCGTTGAGCTGTAATATGGGTGGCTGGGCACCACGGGACCATCGGGCCCCGATCGGGCCCCGATTGCACCGTCGGGCCCCGACGGGCCTCGATTGCACTGTCGGGCCCCTATCGGGCCCCGATTGCGCCGTCGGGCCCCGATCGGGCCCCGATTGCGCCGTCGGGCCCCGATCGGGCCCCGATTGCACCGTCGGGCCCCGACGGCCCCGATTGAACCGTCGGGCCCCGATCGGGCCCCGATTGCGCCGTCGGGCCCTGATCGGGGCGCGATTGAACTGTCACTCTAAGCTTTGCTGAGGATTCTGGGAGGGCGTGGTGCTGTTGGGGATATCGCCTGAGCTTATTCTTTTCGGGGTGGGAGGGGGGGAAAAATAGTAAAAGGGGATTTGAAGGAACTGAAAATCCTTTTACTATTTTTTCTATCAACCAATGGAAAACACATTGAAAAACCAAGTATCAACTAATAGATAAGGTTAATAAATCACAACCTTATTCATTCTAAGTAATTCCTAGAAAAGATACACACCTTATCCATTATTTTTTCACTACTTAACCTATTTCATTTTACTATTTGTTTACCCTTATTCATTTTATATGTTAAGTCTTTTTCCAATTCTCAGAAACTCCAGTTGTTCTTCATTTTTTCTTTTTACCTTATTCATTGTTCACGAATTTTTCACTCAGACTTAAAAATATGACTAAAACACATTTCACCTAATAGTTCCACCTTTCACATTTCATTATTCAGCTTTACAACTATATTTCTTTGATGCTTACTTGTTTTCTCATGCCTTGCTTTATTTCTCAAATACATAGACAAATCACACTCACTACAAAAATACAACTTATTGTTCCACTGTTTATTCCTTTCCATTTTCTTTTCTCTATACTCTTCATCTTCCTTCCACCTTCTATTCGCTTCTGCCCTATATTCTTCCTTATGATTTTCATAACATGTTCTTCTGTGTTCTAAACACCTATTACAGTTTTTGTTTTCACCTTCAAACTCTTCAACTCCTAATATTCTACAACACTTGGAGCACTGCCTTTCACTTTGGTTTTCCATTATTCTTATTAATGTATAGTTCTAAGTCTTTATACAGTTTTAGGACATACTCAAAAGCACAAAAAATCAATATTTACAAACGATAAATATATTACAATTATAACATATAAGGGTATAAATGTTATTATTATAGTATGATTAAGAATTATAGCACCACATTTCACAAGCCATGTTAATCCAAAAATCAAGCCATGTTAATCCAAAAATCAAGTGTTAATCCAAAAATCAAGCCATGTTAATCCAAAAATCAAGCTATGTTAATCCAAAAATCAAGCTATGTTAATCCAAAAATCAAGCTATGTTAATCCAAAAATCAAGCTATGTTAATCCTTATTCCGTCAAACTCACTAAGATTTCACAAATTAATTCGCTAGGTATTTTGTATAGGTCTTCTTGCTAAATAATTCTAATAAATTCATTTATTAGAATTATTTAGATATTATTTATTCAAATAATACATATACTCCATCATCATTTTTTGAAATTTTGTAAAATTCTAAAGTGGTGCTTTTAGGTTGTTTGATTTTTCCTGTATTCAACATATCACAGTATTTCTTTTGCTTTGTCGGGTAGTCGCCCGATGGTCTTCCTATAGATTTTGCTTGAAATATCTTTTCGATTTTTTCTTTATCTTCATTGCGTTCAACTGGTTTCATTTTGTCATCAATGGATTTAATCATATCATTTAAGGTTTTAATATTTTTACCAATTAATGTTATCTTCTTCATTAAATCATTAATAGTGTAATTCTCATTTTCAGACATTACTATATATTTATTTAGATAATTATTTATTTAATTATACGTTTTATTATATAATTTACCTGAATAATTTAATGTTATATATGTAAATAAATTATATTCTAAGAGTCTTTCACCAATTTTATTTTTCAATTGTATTAAACCTTCATCGTTACCTGTAATTTCAAAAAACTTCAACATTTTATCAAATTTATCTGGTTTAGTTATACCTTTCATAAAATATTTATTGTTAAATTTAGCATCTAACCAATAAAAATATTCTATACTCAATTGCCTAGCAAAGTTTTTATCACCATCGAATATATCATTAATTTCTTCATTGTCAAAAGTTATAATTCTATGGTCTTGTCCATTCATAGTTGGCATTATGATTATATAAATAATTAGATATTTATTTAAATATTTATTTATTTATATTTATAAAGTGCAATTATGTTAAATCTACTCTTTAAATACTAATTTTTCATGATTTGTTTAACAGTTTCCTGAGTTTCGTTTTCATTATTATCGGTTGGTGTTGCTTGCCTACCAAATTTAAAAGTTATACTATGGACATCAGTTTCTAAGTTGATACTGTCTTTAGTTTTATCAATATTCATTTTCTTATCATTTTTACTTATTTTGAAACTTGTTGGAATACATGAACATTTACAATTTTATTATTTTTTATTTCTAATTCATTTTTAAGTTCTAACATCTTTTACATAGGACAAGCAACCTCAATTACTGATGTTTCTTTAACAATTTCTCCGCTATCATCTGTTGAAGAAACACTTAAACCTGTCTTATTCTTTTTGTTTTTCTTTTTTCCCATTTATATTAATATTTATATTTTTAATATATTGTATCAAAAACTTAATTAATTCTAAAATAAAATAACATATTTTTTTACATCTATTATCAGTTATTAGTACTTGTTCTATATTCTCCATTTCATCTATTATATTAATATAATCTGAATAACTCCTTTTCATATTAAATAATAAGATAAATTATTTTTAATTTCTGTCTTTCTTTTCTTGTAAAGTTTTTTCATTGTATCGTCCTTATTCCATCTATATCCCACAAATTTCTGATGATGTTTTGAATTTAGATGTTTAAATAAATATTTGTCATCATAAGTTTTACAACAATTGCAATGGATAACAGTCATATAATAATAAGATAAAATAATTATTTAAATTATTTAATCTTATTATTTTCATGCATGATAGAATATTCGGAGGGCACAGCACTTGGGGTTTTCATTGCACGCGAGAGAGATACAAACTAATTAGCTTCAATGCTTACTGATTGAAGCAATGGAAACCTGTTCCATTATGTTATTCACCGCCACTCATAACATAATGATGTTCCATTAATATTAAATAGAATATTTATTTAAATTATTTTCTTTAGCTTTAGTAAGTTTTAGTGCAGTTAGCATATCAACATCTAGAATATTATTATTAATAACTTCTTGTACACTATTTATCATTTCATCTGTATATATATTAGAATAATCTTTCATAAAATTTATTAACTTTCTAAAATTAAAATCTAGGTTATTGTCATTTTCAATTGCGGACTTGGATACTACGATATTATAATTTTTAATTCCAGATAAAAAGTATAACATCGTATCATAATATATTTGTACAGTATCTGGAACTAAGACATCACCAAATTTATATATCCTCCGAATACTAGCCACTTCACTTAAATTAATAGATTCTATTGTCATTATGATATAAGTATATTATATTTTATTATTTTATAAGTATTTATAATATTATTTATGATTGATATCAAACCGTACAAAACTAAAGAATACAATAGTAAACAATCACGACATGATCATGTAGGTAAGCTACCAGCAAGACAAATATTCGCGGCTCC